TGTAGGTCACACCCCCCACTGAGGGCTAAAGCAATGGCTAGAAAAGCCAATTTTCAAGGGTTCTGACACCCCAATGGTTGTCCACAATAGTCCTATGTAAGTCTCTAATCAGATCTAGAATGAAGTCTTTTGTCATTTAAATAGCTGGCAAATGGAAATAACCGAAATGTTCCTCTGGTGAGGAATTAGCTGGCATTTGCCATTTCTTTCTAAAACCAACGATGGTGCCATTATAGCATGCGTGTTTCCAGAGCAGGTCGTGGGGTGTCTCTGGCAAAGTCAGGAGACGACTGCAGGAGAATAAGAAAAGGTGGCAGCCAAGCACAACAGACAGGAAGAACCTGAGAGTCCCGGGCCCTTCGTGACTCCTTATTCCTGTCCCTTCCGGGGTCCATGCATCCCCTGGGAGGCACCACAGGGGAGGCACCCAGAACAAAGGGCTCTGGGCTTGAACTCAGTCTTAATCCGTTTAACCGGGCTCAGCCTGTCTCCTGTCCTGTAAGATGAGAAAACAGAGAAAGCAATGCTGTTGCTATGTCCCACTGAGTTGGAACGACCTCCTAACTGACCCTCTGACGGGCTTCAGAGGTAGAGAGTCACACAGAAGGAGGCTGTTCTTTCTCTGCAGAGCAGCTGGGAGAGTCAAACCGTGTGCCTTTGGGTTGGCAGCACAATTCCTTGCCACTGAACCACCAGAGCTCACAGGAGAGTACAACAGTGCAGACATTCCAGAGCTGAGGTAAAGGCTGGTAGGAGCCCTGGCGGCAGAGCCATGAAAACGCTTGGCTGCTAAATTCAAAGTTGGCAGCTGGAACCCACCAGCCACTCTGCAAGAGACAGACAAAGCAGCCCGCGTCCATACAGAGGCGCCTCCTGGGAAAACTCAGCTGGCCGCTCTTCTCTGTCCACACAGCGGCCATGCCTCGGAATGGACTTGATGTCATCGGCGGGTTACGCCTGGACCTTCCACTGACACTGTCCCCACACCAGCCCGCACCTCCATTCAGTCCATGTTCAGGACAAAGCTTCCCCCATCACACGGCATCAGGAGCCCCTCGGGGCCCTGCTGTAATTCCCAGTTTCTCAAGACGGTCCCAGGAGTCCTTATAGGGTGCAGTCAACACAGTCAGCCGCTAACTGAAAGGATGGCAGTTCAAGATAACTCACAGGTGCCTCGGAAGAAAGGCCTGGCAATCTACACCTGGAGAAAAGTCCTGTCAGTCCATCTCCTCAAGGGGCTCCCTCTCTTGGGCATCAGTCCCAGTCTTCAAAACCTCCGGCCCTGTAACGACTGCTCTACTACAGAGGGAAGGAGGCACACACCATGGTGGAATCGTGGTTGGGACCAATCGACCCCACTAGAACACAGTCTAGATACTAACAGCGCGATCAGCACTCAGCCGCTGGCAGGAAGGTTGGCAGTTTGAACCCAACCGCAACTCTGCTGGAGAAGAGACTTGTCGAGATGCCCACATAAAGGTGGCAGCCTCAGAAACCACATCAGGCAATTCTGCTCAACCCTACAGTCCTCAGTCAGAATCCACACGCAGCACACAACAGTAACACAACCATTATAAGCAACAACTACATACAGAAAAATAAAGGTTTAACACTGACAGCTTGACTCCATAGGAACCGTGTAACACAGTGACTCTCAACATCCACCACTTTACTGATAAGAAAACTCAAGCAGAATTAAATAACTTGCCCACAGAGAGCTCATTTTTTCAACTAGGCCCCATCTAGGTTAAAAAACCCAAGTCCTTGTCATCAGATCAATTCTAACTTAGAGCAGCTGCGCAGGACAGAGCAGAAGAGCCCCGCTGTCCCCCCAGGACTTCCAAGGCCATAATCTTTACAGAGACCTCACATATCACAGCCCACAGAGCACGGTTAGCCCAAAGGCCTCTGGGGGCCTGGTGGTAAGAGGCTGCTCTGCAATCCCAAAGGCACGCGGTTCTAATCCACCAGCTGCTCTCCACAGGAGAAGGACGGGCAATCTCCTCCCATGGAATTTACTGCCTCTAAAAACCCTCTGGAGGCTCAGCCTTGTGTCGGTTCTCACTCAACAGCACACAACAACCTAATGGCCAGGCCTGTCTGGTGGTTCAAATCCACCAGCTGCTATCTGAGAGAAAGACGGAAGAGATTATAACGTCAGAAACCCACGGGAGAGTCAGCCGCCAGTCGACTCTGACTCAATGGCAAAGTGGCTGGTGGGTTCAAACTGTCAACCTTAGTGTTACCAGCTGGGTGCTACCAGGGCTCCTTCTAGTTCATGCTGAACAGAAAAGTCAGCGCTGTCGAGGTGATCGTGACACAGAGTGCCCCTGCCAGAGAGGGTCAAGTTCCCCCGCTGGGTTCCCGTGGCCGTCAATCTTTACAGAAGCAGACTGGCACATGTTTCTACACAGAACGGCTGGTGGGTTTGAACCACTGGCCTTCCAACTGGCAGGTGGGTTTATGAACCACTGACCCACCACAGCTCCTCCCAGCCATGAAACCCACTGCTGTGGAGACGGAGTGAACCCACAGCTCGGCCAGCAGCAGGTTCCAGAGGCTGTAAATCCCCTAGGAGGGGACGCTCCCCTTCCCCCCACGAAGCGGCTGGCGGACCAGAACCAGCCCGGAGTGAGCCAGTGGGACTCCCCGTGGACTAGGACACCGGAGCGCCCTCCCTGCACACCAGCACTGCTCACGAGGCCCTGCTCTGCGAGCACCGGTCCAGTTCTAGAACTGACGCTCTCGTGGCCTGCCTCGCTCCGCAGGAACAAGGGAGCTGCCGCAGAGTGACAGCTATCACACAATCGGGCGGGCAGCAGCTCGGGGACAATGTCAGCATCAGATGACAAAGGAGCAGTGAGGACTCCCGTCCCCGAGCCTGACAGATACACCTGATGCAGAATGAACACAGCTGACATCGCTGGAGGCTCTGCCGTAACCTGTAACCTAACAATGACGAGAACAAAACTCAGGGCCGTGTTTGCTCACGTTGTACCGTGTTGAGTTGGCATTGCACAGAAATTAACAGCCATATTGGTCTAGAAATGTTGAATTTTTTTTTCCATTTGTACAGGGGTAATGCACTGTATTAAATATGTAAGGTCTTATCTACATGGGTTTGATTACAGAAACTAATAAAGTATTCTCTAAATAATGAAAAAAAAATAAATAAATAAAGGGGGAAAGACACATCCTTTTCTCACAAGATCTGATGATCTGGTAAGAAATTACATGAGACCTTCAGAGGTAACTGAATTATCACAAGCCAGCCGCTTCATGTTCAAGAAGGCCAAAAATTATTTCCTTTCAAAACCTAATTTACATGGATGTCCAAAATTGTGCTCCGTGCTTTTCTACAGCGCCCTCTAGCGGCCCATAACGAGGAAAAGCGAAGAAATCCATTGATCTTCCTACAAATCGCCTTGAACTTGTCGGAGCAGTAGATTAAGCATTTGGGGTGCTAAGTGAAAGACTAGATGTCTGAATCCACCAGATACCCTGCAAGAAAAGATGCCACAGTGTGCTTTTTTTTTTTTTTTAGAATTTTTTTTTTTAATTTTATTATTTTTGTGTGCGTGTACTGTCAAATCAGATCTGACTGGTACAGGAGGAGACTGTCCCTCCTTCCCCGGCAGAGCACCTGGTGGATTCGAACCGTGCGGCTCTGGGATTGTAGTTGCAGCTCTTTGCCACTAGGCCACCAGAGCTCCCCTGCCACAGTGTGCTTTATGAAGATTACAGACTCAAGAGACCACAATGTATAGTAAGGAGCATATGAAACAATGTGAATAAAGGAATATGGGAAACACAATGCCTATGAAGAAACAAAATGTATACAAATTCTGTATGCAAACCAATATAAAATAAAAGCATACTTCAAGACAAAACAAAGATTACAGCCTTGGAAGCCTTAAGGGGCATTTCTTTGTTCTCTGCTCTGCAGGGTCCCTGGGAGCCTGGTTAATTCAGTAGCTAGCTGTCTTTTTTCTTTCCACTCCGAATATAGCTTAAAATACCATATCTTGTCCTGGGAAACACGCAGCCATCTATGCAAAGATACGCTTTCTCATGAATTATTGGACAGAATCCCAGTCACTGGCATCTATCTCAAGACATTTTTACAAATGAAGATTATTTGAATATTTCCTTAAGAGCCACTGCTTCACAGAATGTCTCACTTACTGAACCGGTCTCAGTTTCCTTGATTAAGGAGTCTTGGTGGTGCAGTGGTTCAAAAACTGGGATGCTAATCAAGAGGCTTGTAGTTCAAACCCACCAGCTGTTTAGCAGGAGAAAGATGAGGCCGCCTCCCCCTGTAAAGGTGGGCGGCCTGAGAAACCGCCCGGCAGCTCCACTCCAGGCCTGGGTACTATGAGGTGGAACCGACTTGAAGGCCGTGGGGTTTCCCGAAGATTCAGACTGAACATGTGTGACACACACTGCACACATGTGTACACTTTTTACTATACCACGGCAAAACCCCAAAGCCAGCCCACCGCCACCAGGTCGTTTCCAGATCACAGAGCCCTCCAGTGGGTTTCTATGGCTGTATAATCATGAACCATTAGTAAGAAAGACAAATCAAACAACATTAGCGTACACGCATGCATACGCGCATGCACGTGTGCACACACGTTATTGTTAGGTACCATCGAGTCAAGCCTATGAACAATAGATCTGAGCCCTGCCTACCCTGACCACTGTCACCACCTCCGCCACACTCGACCTCAGTGTGACAGTCACTCTGTCAGCCCATCTCGCTGAGGGTCCTCCTTTTTCGCTGTCCGTCTGCCATTCCCAGCATGATGTCTCTCCCCCAGGACTGGTTCACCCAACAAGCCCAAGTAAGAGAGACAAAGTCGCACTGTACACACATATACACCCAAACACAGGAAAGTTCCACTGGCTCTGCTTCTCTAGAGAACAGCCGCTCCAGTGGCCGGACAGTCATTACGGAACACTAGATGTTAGCCCCCTTTGTGCCCAGACGTCGGTACCTTCCGCTTCTTCACACGGCCCACGATGCTGCCGAGATCTTCAACGTCAACGACGGCATCCAGGCCTCGCTCGTCCTCACTGCTGCTCTCCAGCGCCTCCTCCTGGAACAGAGAGGCCTCGGTCACACTCTTAGCAGACGCCAGAGAGTTTCCTGCGCTCCCTCCCACGGGCGCCTTCTAACTTATTCACAAAAGGCCCAACCTCGAGCACAGCAGTCTTCTCAACCCTCCTTCCCCAGGCGGCCACAGCCTGCTCACTGAGAGGAAGTCAGAGAGAGGATGGCGAGCCTCCCTCCATCCTCACGACAGTGAAGGGTCAGGAGAAGGACAAGGAGGTGGACAGGGGACGAGCTGTCATCGTGGGACAGTCACAGTGTGCTCAGCACCAAGTGTCCTGATCCACTCGCTCCACACTCCCTCACCAGACTGAAGAGGCAGACATGGTCAGCACAGGAGCCCAGGAGCTGCGTGGCACGGCGATTAAATCCTCACCCGCCAACAAAAAGGTCAGCTGTTTGACGCCACCATCCCATCCACAGAAGGAAGGTGTAGGAGACAGTCCGCTTCTGTGAAGATTTACAGCCCTGGACCCCCTGCAGGCTGCTCAGCCTGCTCAAGCAGGTTTGCTCAGGAATCGACTCACCGCTGCCCTTTTTACGTTTGGATACATCTTACAGATGAGGACTAGGGCTAGAGACGCTCAAACAGCACAGAGGAGACGGCAAGTCCAAACAGGGCCTTCCTGAGAAGCTGAGGCGGCGAAGGGCACAGCCGGCCCCAAGCTGTTCACTGTACATAACGGGCACTCACTGGTAAGGTGGGGTAACACTAACGGCAAAAGAAATGCCGGCACTAAGCTTCAGAACACAGCACCAAACAGAACAGGCGCCACCACGTCCACTCCCCGCAGAGCCGCACTGCACACTCACTGACTCCAGCGGCCGACTGTGCACGTGCAGATGGCCAGACATTTCCTTCCAGACATCTCTGGGTGGCCGTGAACCTCTAACCCTTCAGGGAACAGTAAGGGCACAAATCCTCTGCACCGGCCCTGAGGGCTGGAGAACAGCTTATGAGAAAACAAAGCGACTGCCAGCGAGCTGAAGCCGACACACAGCGGCCTACAGGACAAAGGCGGGCACTCCACCGGGCACGAAACGGCCGCTGTGTCCTTCTCCCGTGGAGCAGGTGGTGGGTCTGAACTGAGGACCTTCCAGTTTCCAGCCAGAGCGCTTAGCCTCCGCACCACCAGGGCTCCCAGAATATAGGACAGGAAGCCATATACAGTGCTCACAGATCAGAACAGCACCCCCAGAGGCTAGTCCTGGCCCTGCCCAGGTGGTACTTGGCTGAAGCCAAGGCTGTAACCATGAGAGAGGCGCTGGGCTGTGCGGGAGCCGGCTCACCGGGGGAAGGAGGGGGCCTTCTGCTGCCAGTAAATGAGCGGACTTCTCGGCCTGACACCCGGACGACGGGCCATGAGCAGGTCCATGGAGGTGCCCTCACAGGTCCCTCAGCTGGGCTTCAACAGAAAATCCCTGCCAGCTAAGCACCTCCCAACCTCGTACACATCCAGAACAAAGATGAGAACCCCTCCAGAAACGTCGTTTCCCCCCCATGGCCCAACTCTCAGCCAAATTCCCAGGCAGACCTGCACGGTGACCACCACCACAGGGAGGGGCACACTCCTTAAACTATCAATCAGAAGGGACCAAAGCGCAGCGTCTGCACAGGGAGAGGCTGAGGGGCTAATGACAGTGCTTAAGTGAGATGGGATCAGGAGAGGTGTTAGAAGACACGCCACCGGGGAAGGTGGGAGAAGAGCGGCAGGAAGCAGCCACACCATCCGGCCTGACTCCAAAGGCCCCGAAGTAATGGTTTCTCAGGACAGAGGTCAAATTCAATGTCTCCACCGAGGACAGGGAGCAGGAAGGAGGAGGGCCACTGACCTCGGTGCCTCTGGGGGGTGAGTCCTGCCGCTGCTCTGAGCAGTGCTGGCCGGGAGCACAGCGCCCCTTCTTGGAGTCCCCGTCGGCCGGTTTCTTCTCCCCCCGCCGGAGCTCCTGGAGCCGGGCGAGGAGCCGTGTCCTCCACGCACCGAAGTCGGCCTCGATGCTGCCATGCCTGCTCCTGACCACGTCGCAGTCCCCCTCCCCTCGGGCCAGCACACGATGGGCACCGAGCTGCCAAAGCCACTTGTCCACATTTTTGCCAACCTGTAAGCAGAGGAGACAAAGCACAGTGTGTCACATCAAAGGGTCCCGTCTGTCCCTGCACAAGCCTGGGGTGCCGAGGAGGGAGGCGGTACAGGGACCCTGCTCAACGCAAAGGGCTCCCAGGCGCCACTCGACCAGAGGGATGTCGGTCACACGCTTTCTAAGGTTTTCCTAAACAAAGGGCTTGAAAACCATTGCTCTCACAGTTAAGTTCAAAACCACAATGAAGTGCATTTAATAACAGCATGTCTATGGAAACAATGAAGGTAGATTCCTGATGTGCTTCAGGGCCACAAAGAACAACTGCGCTGAGGTTCTGGGTTATCAAGAAGCACAGCTCTCTCTCTCTCATCCCTTGTTCCCTTGAAACAGGAAGAGCACACTAATGAAAGCACGGGAAGCATTTCAGGACAAGTCTCCCCACCTTCACCAGGGCTCACAGTGGCCCAGGCCCAGACCTGAATCTCAACTCAGTGCTGTCAAGCTGGTTCCAACTCTGAGCTAGTGACCCCCCCATGGGGTTCCCACAGCTGTGAACTGTTAACAGCAGGCAGCCCTTCTTGTTCTCAAAAAAGCTCAGAGCCAGCAAGCTGGAGCCAAACCATGGCTGATCCACCAGAGGGCTCTCCTCACACAGGAGGGGCCTGCCCGTCCTTCCACGGCAGAGCTGGTGGTGGAGACCTGATTAAGTGCGGTCTTTGGATTAGCAGGCAAACTTCCTGCAGACACCTCACCAGAGCTCCCTGAACCTCTAGATGTTGTTATTGTGTATCACCAGGTCAATTCACAACCGACCCTCCGGTGGGTTTTCAGAGACAGTCAACTGCACAGGAAGTTGCCTATCTTTCTCCCACGATGCAACTGGTGGATTTAAACTGTGTGCCTTGGAGTTGGCAGCACAACTCCTCACCACTATGCTACCAGAGCTACCCAGGGCTCAGGTCTACTGCCGTCAAGTCGGTTCTGTCTCCTTGGGACCCTGCAGGACAGAGGACAACAGCCGCTCACGGTTCCCAAGGCCGTGGTCTTCTTTACTTTTTTTTTTCAAAATTGTATAACAGTTTATTGGTTACAATAAAAATAATCAATTCACTTGAACAGGAGATAATAAATCAAAAAAGTAAATGCTTGCTAATCATCAGAAAATCTGTGGCCACTGGAACTATCCCACAGAAACCCAAAATCACTCAGGGGCCAAACCAGAAAGATGATACGTCCTCTTATGAATCCACATGGAAACAGGCCCATAGAACCTAGAATCTGTAGAATTCTGAAGATTCTCACCTTCTAACCACAAATGACCCACTGGCACAGAATTATAGCTTTTCAAGAAATCTGATGAACTATTGACGAGTGTTTTGTCTCCTTCCAAACCAATTACTCTTTACAAATACTTGATTTTGGGTCACTTGAAAGTTTTGCGATCACAACGTCACCTCTTTGAATATAGTAGGAATGCCGACTTACAAAAAAAAAAAAGAATACCGACTTAAGATTTTCTGCAAAGACAATATCTGACTTTTGAACTGCGGGCTCCACTGATGGTCCAGAACGCGTGATAACGCCACCCACGTATCCAAATGCACAATGAGCTGTACAGCCGTACTGGACAGGACAGCCGACACGTGGGAACGTCTTTCCCAGAACAGCACAGTGCTACACAGACTCTCCCACCACCGGCCAGAGGTCTGCTCTACACACACTCAACTGTTCAGTCTGCAAGGCCTCCAGAAAAAACACTTACGGGTTGTGCCAAAGAGTATCTTAAAGATCCAGGTTCCAGGAGTCCTGGGACCCCAAAGGCCTCGTTCGACCCTCACCCATGACGCCGGCGGGCCTTTCTGCTTTCACCAAGATCCCAGCCAAGAAAGAGTCAGCATCAATGCCATGGTGGGTGGGGTGTTTGTAGATAGTTTTTTTTAAATTAAGGCTTTATGACAACAATGCAGCACACACTCACCCTGTTGAAGTGGCTCGTGCAGACACACACTCACCTTGTTGAATTAACTTGTGCAGACACACACTCACCTTGTTGAAATAGCTCATGTAGACACACACTCACCTTGTTGAAGTTGTTGAAGTGACTCGTGCAGGCACACACCCACCTTGTGAAGTGGCTCGTGTAGACACACACTCACCTTGTTGAATTAACTTGTGCAGACACACACTCACCTTGTTGTTGAAGTTGTTGAAATGACTCTGCAGCACACACTTACCTTGCTGAAATGACTCATGTAGACACACACTCACCTTGTGAAGTGACTCGTGCAGACACACACTCACCTTGAAGTGACTCGTGTAGACACACACTCACCTTGTTGAAATAGCTCATGTAGACACACACTTACCTTGTTGAAGTTGTTGAAGTGACTTGTGCAGATACACACTCACCTTGTTGAAGTGGTTCGTGTAGGCAGAATTTCCCAGGCCAAACACCGCGTATCTCATCCCCTTCAGATAGGTTCTACCAAATCGAAAGTCAGTGGCCGCCTCCTCCAACCACTTGCAGAACCACTCGGCGCTTTCGGGCGGCTGCCCATCGGTGTACGTGGCGACCAGGAAGGCACAGACGCTTCTACCAGTGGCCTATGCAAGAAAGGCACTATGTCAGAAGGATGTGTGAAATCACATTATTTAATTGAGAAAAAAAATCATTAACTGAAACAACATTCATATCACACCAAGAACATCTCAGGACATAAACGTGACCTGTTTTCAAAAGGGAAAGAAAGGCAGCCAGGCCATCTAACACGAGGGAATCATCACAACCCTTGGTCCCAGCCACTGTCCTGCCATAAATCTCATCATCCCTGACTGGAAACAAAAATGCCAACATACACCAAGTTCTCTGAAAAGTAATTCAACCAAACCACCATCACCTGCACCTAGCATATCCCAATCCTGCTGGCTGTCGTCCATGTGCAGAGCCTGTGACATTTCTGAAGCCAACTGCCTACCTTCTGAGGAACCTCTGAGCGGATCTGAACCACCAACCTTTACTAGCTAATAGCTAAGTGTTGAAACATGCGTGCGGCCCAGGCACTGCTCAGTCCTGCCAGACCTCGTGTCTCATCTGCTTGAATGCATCTCAACAGCCCCAAGTCATGATTTCAGTTACAAGGAACCTTACTAATACAAAGTCTCAAAATTTAACTAATTGCTCATATATCATTAAGAGCAGATCCAAGCTCACTTGGGACTCCAATGTATTTTCTTGTATGAAAGAGACAGAATTACAGCCAGTTTATCCTCCAAAAAAGGGCCAACGAACTATATAAGCTGTGCATCAAATCTAGATGGTTGCTTGGTTTTGTAAATAAAGTTTTATTGAGCCACAGAGTTGTTGACACACTATCTATGGCTGTTTTCAGGTCCCTGCGTGGTATGGGCTGGTTTTTGATCAGTTACTAATGGCCAGTGGTTTGAACCCCCCTCTGGCAATCTGCTTCGATGAAGATGTATGGAGCAGTTCTGGTGGGGAATGTATTTTTATGCAAATAACATACACATTACATGGTCGGTTTCCTTGAAAGCACAGTAATACAGTGAGGTGTAGCTGACCTACTGACGTGATGGTAGCAGCTTTGGGGTTTTTTGGCTCTAGGTAAGCAGTCCCATAACCACAGAGCCGATGGTGTTTACTCTGGCCCTTCACAGGAAGTATTAGCCCTGCTCTAAGGGCCTCTCCGAGCGGAGCTGCATCAGATTCTGGGAGGCTCGGGAAAGCACAGTCCCACCTCCAGTGTTTCTGGTTCCCTAGGGTTTGGGCTTTGGAAGCTGCGTTTGTAACAAGCTCCCCAGGAAACACTGATACTACTTGGTCAGGGACCAGACTTTGAGCACCACTGACGTGCAGCAAACGCCCCTGGGTGGGCCTGACTCAGAGACGGGAGGGCATTTTTCAAGTGAAGAAATTAAACCCTTAGAAAAGCAAAGCATTGAGATCAGACAGCTAAAGAGAGAGTGTTCGAGCCCCCAAACCCAAAAGGTGGCCCCCACCCTGCAGGTTCCCATGCACACACACTGCCATTGATAGTGGCCTTCCTATCAGATACAAAGTGATGGGAGATTTCAGGACCCCTAAGCCTTCCGACACCAGCTCCAGCCCAGGACACTATACAGCCCAGAGGGACAGACAGCCTCACCCCGCTGACAATCAAAGTAAACCACACACGTGAAGCCTCTGGTTCACGCTTTAAAGTCCCCCAACTGAAGGCCCTGAGCATGAAAACTCCGGTTTTTCGGGAGACGATGTTTATCCCTGAGAAAAGGAGGTCGATTAAGTTTGAGAGCTTTGATGGGAGAAAGAAACCAATTACCAACCTCTTCCAGCAGATGGTCGTCTGGTTCACAGTCTTTCAAATTGATCACTGTCACCGGCAGGCCGAGGGCAGTAACTGCTTCAGCAAGAAGGACTGCAAATCCCTAATAGGGAGCGAGATCAAAGGATTTCAGTCAGACGGAGAAGCAAAATACAGTCCCAATTTATCCCGTATCACTGGGAGGGAATGAAGCATTCCCCACGGGTAACGTCTCTAGATAAACTACATGCTGTGGTCGTCTGAGGTGGGGCTGAGTCGGCCTCTGTTCTTCACAAACCCGAGCTCACCAGAACGAGACGCTGCCCGATCCTGAGCCCGCAGGCCTCCCAATCACCGCTGCGTCTGAGCTCCCTGCCTCTTACCGACGATCTTCTATCATTCGTTGACCTACCATCCTAAGCACAAACACTAGTTTTATTTTTCCCTTTCTCTCAGCCGTCATTGTAAAGATTCACCAGTTCTCACTCTCTGAAGGCATCTCATCACGCTTCTGCCACTGAGCAAAAAATCTTCAGTCTACTTTGTGTATTATCCGAGTACGTCCAGAAGCTACAAACATCAAAATGCAAGGCAAGTTAACGCTGGCTGCGCCAGTTCAGACTGTGAAGGCGCGTCTGGGCCAGGATCCTCGGAGCTTTGGCAGCCGTGCAGGAACGTAGTCCTCTTCCATCTGAGATCCGATGTGGTCGTCGTGTTTTCCCATAACGCTGATATTCTAAGATGACCTATGGCATCTGACCAGGTCACTATGTGAGGAGTGGGTGCGCCACTCAAAGCGTACCCTTAATACAACACTAGTAGAAGTCAAAATGTGCTTCACTGAGTCAACGTGCTGGTCTCCTTTGCCTCCCCCTCACCCTACACCACCAGTATTAAGGATGCCCTCGGGACCCTCCACACAGCTGATCAGATGCAAGCTTCAGAGCAAAGGCAACTTGGGACAGTGGCCAGCAGGCATCATCAACCGCCAACACTGAGCCAAAGCACTAAAACCCACCCACCACCCCACAGACAAAAATGTATGAGGGAAAAGGGAAAGAAAACTACAATTCAGGTCAGGATTCAGTTCACCGAAAATGGGCGCTTTTCAGAAACTGGGTTAAGTCAAGAAACCCAGGAAAAAGCATCACATAGAATTCTCACCTTTGCTGTGCCTGTCTGCGAACCATAGAAAATCTTCACTCTGGACACAAAGACGTCCTGCGTGTGGTGGGACAGCGAACCATTTGTCACCAGATCCCGAGGAACTTTTGGAAAGGATTTCTTCTGTGAGTTCTTGTCCTTCAAAACAAACAAGTGCATATATTCTCTCTCAAATCTGCATCTATTCTTACCTTTAGTAGGAATAAAAATTAGTAGCGACTGGCTCAGTTTATTCCTCTGTTAAATTTTTCCAGATGTTATCTCTCCAATTTTAGTATACGTGCCGCCGAAACGAGCACCATCTCTCAAAAGATATCCACTGAATAGCATTCAAGCCAATTTCAACTCACTGGACGCTGCTGGACAGCCCAGAACTGCCCACAGGGTTTTCCCAGGCTGTGGTCTTTACAGGAACAGATTGTAAGTTCTTTTTTCCTGTGGAGCAAGTTCTTTCCTCCCATAGAAAAAAAAATGTAGTCAGTGTTTAAAAAAGAAAAATCACCTAGAGACGGAAGAACAAAGAGACTTAAGGTGCCTTTAAATTTCCATCTTTGTGAGCTCTCTCAACTCAATGCTATCTCATTGGAACCAACTCACAGTTGACCCTCCAGCAGGTTCTGAGGCTGCCAACAGCACTGTTGACCTCTGATTAGCAGCCCAGCACTTCACCACTGTGCCACCAGCTCTCCTTCCTCAAATGTGAGACCTACACCCCTTGTAGAATAACAGTGAAATTTTTTCCCCCTTGATTAATGGAAAAGGATGAAAGAGCCCTGATGATACATGCTAGGGTGCTAATCAAAAGGCTGACAGTCAAATCCCCCTACCAGTCGGAGGGAGGAAGATGAGGGAGCCTCCTCCTTCCTATACTGACAGCCTCGGGAGGAGTCAGGGTAATCTGGAAGTCAGCGGGATTCTTGGTTTTTAATAGAAAGGACCGAGGATTTCTACTTCTACAAGGTGTGTTTTCTAATCTAATTTTTTTCATTACAGAATTTTGCTGATTCTTAAGGAGACATTCATTTCTTAAAAAAATACAAACAGGGGAGCTCTGGTGGCCTAGTGGCAAGGAGCTGCAACTACAATCCCAGAGGCACACGGTTCGAATCCACCAGATGCTCAGCCGGGAAAAGGAGGGACAATCTCCTCCTGTACCAGTCAGATCTGATTTGACAGTACACTCACACAAAAATAAAAATAAAATTAAAAAAAATACAAACCATAAAAAGCCTACGGACCAAAGAGGAAAGTGATTTAAGGTTATTTCAAATTTGTATTTCTCTGTACTCTCTCAATTCATTGTTGCTAAGTTGGAACCAACACATAGCCAACTCCCCATTGGGTCGTAAGGTGATAAACAACACAAGAGGATCGATGGTCTTCCTCCTGAAAAGCCACTGGTGGGTGGGAACTGCCAGAGAGGCTCAGCCTCGGGTTAGGAAGGAAATGCCCTCCAGATTATGCCACCAGAACACCCTATTTTTCTTCAAGTCCTAACAATTCTGTACTCTAATTCTCCAAAACATTTGATGGCTAAACATTCTCTTGAAAGAAAGGGAAGGGGAAAAAAGCCAACGTACCTGCTTCTTGATCACAATCTGGACACAAATCCAAAGGGTGATGCCAAAGACAAAGCCCAGATAGATGTAAAACCGGTTTATCCACAAAGCTACCAAAGGGGAGAAGTCCCAGGCATCCAAAGAAGGCTCTAGATTTAAAACAACACACAAACAGGGCTTCGTTAAAAACCACCTACATGAGGGAGCTCTGGTGGCCTAGGGGCAAGATGCTGTGCTGTAATCTTGGAGGTGTGTGGTTCGAATCCACTAGCTGCTCCGCTGGAGAAAGAGGGACAATCTCCTCCTGTGTCAGTCAGATCCGATTCGATGGTACACAACAAGGAAATGAAAACAAAACCCACCTACATGAAGTTCATGGTCATTCTAAGATACATGTAATTTTTAGATGTCACTGAATCAGCCCCAACTCGTAGACCCTGTGTACAACCAAAACTCTAGCCCAAGTCTGTGCTGTCCTCACAATCTCTGTGATTAAACCCATTGTTGCAGTGACTGTGTCAATATTTCATTGAGAATCTACTAAATTTTGTTAAAAGTTGCATATATAAGAGGGGGAAGTTATATACGTAAATAATAAAAAGGCTTTTTAAGTTTACCTATATTTTAAAGATTAAAAGATAACGCACACTCATATTTATTGCAGCTTTGTTCACAACAGCAAAAAGTTGGAAATAACACACATGCCCATCAACAAATGAATGGATAGAGAAGCTGTGGTATATTCACACAATGGAATACTATGCAGCACTGAAAAACAAAATTCATCCCTTTAGAGTAGTGAGAGAAGATCTTCACCCTGAAACCCACAGCGTCCCTTTTCAGCAGGAAGTAGCTAAGAGAATACGCCATCCCCTTTTCCTTATGACTCAGGGTGAAGTCTCTCTCAGGGAGGAGTGATAGGGAATGGCAAAGGACACACTGACAAAGAAGATTAATCAGAACTGGCTTTGACAAGCACTGTGGCATTTGGACAAGAACAAACTGGGAGGAGGGTAGAGAGAATGGTGCAGCGGTGAATGAATGGAAACCCAAAATCTCTGTAAATGTTTATGAAAATTAATAAAATATAATTATAGAAAAAAAAAACAAAACTCATGAAATACTATACAAAATGGGTGACCATGGAGGACATTATGCTGAGTGAAATATCTGTCACAAAAGGACAAATACTGTATATTGCCTGTTACAGAACAGAAATGACATAGGGGTTGGGGTAAACTAAGAAAAGAGGGAATAAATAATGTACATGACACTGAAAGGGACGAGAGAAAGAACTGTATAAAAGGAATATATGATCAGGTATTATTGGTATGACAAGAGTCCAGAATAAGAGCTGCATAGTAAAATGGGGTGTGGCGGGGGGAAAGGGTACTGTATAACAATGAAAGAACTTTTTTCCAAAGAAAAAAAGCAAACTGGGGGCGAGGTGGGGGGCAGGGAGGAAAATGTGCAACAATGAATGAATGGAAATCCAAGTTCTTTATACATTTACAATAAAATTTAAAAAATAAAACCACTCTCGATATGCAGCAGCTTGGCTGAGCTCTGGTGGACACATGGTAAGGAGTCCCGCTGCCAACCCCAAGGCAGGTGGTTCCAATCTGCCAGGAGGAAGATGAGTCCTCTCCTGCTATGCTATTTACAGCTGCTTTGAAAACCCAGCAAGCAGCTCGGCTATGAGTCTATTCCGATTCGATGGTACCTAACTAGCTGATACACACAACAACAATAATACACTGTGTGTTCAAGGGCAAGCTCTGGTGGCTTAGGGGTAAGGCGTTAAGCGGCTGCTGCCAACTCAAAGGTATGTGGTTCAAATCACCAATAGCTCAGCAGGAGAAAACTGGGCCATCTTCCCCCTGTGCTATTTACAGATTCTGCAAACCCGCTTGAAGGTCAGCTATGAGTTGGTTCGACTGGAAGGTACATAACAGTATGTGAACGTGTAACAAAATGATCGTAACAGAAAACTTTTGGAAAAGAGTATGAAATGATACTTCATGTGGACCTGAGCATTTGAAAGCAAGAGAATATCAAATCAAAACTTTCGATATGGAATTGTGAGTTCGTTTGACTTTGCTATAAAGCCATTCAGAAGCAGGAAAGTGTAAAATTTTCCCTAATTCTGTTCTTAAAGCTCCATGGCTCCTTGCAAAGAGCTCTCTCTCACGCTCCAGGTTTCAGAGAGACTCGTAGACTTGGCTTCAAAGTTGATGAACTTGGGGACAGCTGCAGAAGGGGAGCGCCGAGAGGTGCCAGGTGTTGCTGCACCCTTCCTGTTGTTAGGAGCCTGGAGTCCGACTCCCGGCGACCCTAGGAGGAGGCTGTACCCTGGAAAGTACCACCTGCTCCAGTACACGTGGGTGAGGACAGGAGAGGACGACTCCACTGCATTGATTTGGTGTGCAGCGTATTTGCCTTCTGTGCACAGTCACCAGCCTCAAGGGGCAAAAGCCAGGTCAAAAGGAAGGTCCAGGCTTCTCTCTCCCGCCCAGCGGGACAGGAGCAACCATCTCTGAAGAGACCCGAGCTCGCACTCTGCAGGGGGAAGGTCCCAGAGAAGAGGCGCCCTCCTTCCCAGACAACGGCCCGCGCCCGAGGGGGGCCCTTACCCATGTTCCTGGGAACCCCGGCCCTGTCACCTGGCCAGAGAATACGACGAGGGACCTGAAGAGTTGGGGGTCGCCGAGGGTGCCCGGAGACAGTCTTGGCCACCTCACAGCATAAACTGAATAGCCAGAACCAGGGAGCAGAGGGCCGCCATGTCTCTCGCGGGCAGGGAAGCCGGAGGGCTGGCGGCCAAGCCCGATTGGTTCAAAAGAGGAAGCGGCGGGCCCAGCGTGTAGGCACGCCCACTTCCTCGGGCACAGAAACCGTGCATACCCAATTCTGTGTTGATTGGTCCAAGGGGTGAGGGGCGTGTCCTGAAGTAAGTACCGCCCGAACTGGGGCGGGGCGAAGGCGGGGCAGTCCTGGCGGGGCTGTCACCAGGCTGTAGAAAACAGGGGGCGAGGCCCATTTAAGAAATGAATGGCATGGGGGCGGGGGGAGAGGGCTGGGCGGGTAGAGAAGTGCAGCAATGAATGAATGGAAATCCAAATTCTCTGTAAATGTTCATTAAAATTATTTTAAAAAAGAAAATTAAAAAAAAATGAATGGCATGTAGAACAGAGAGAGGCACCAAGAGAAATTTACTGTAATACTTTTCGTAGTAGCCTAAAGACGGAAACAACCAAAATGTCCATCATCATATGACTGCTAAAGACCCTTGAAGGGGTTCCAACTCACAGTGTGGTTAACAGAACTCACAATCATTGCTATGATTAAAACAACTGCTGCCGCCACCGGATCAATTAATTCATCTTGTGTTTTGCTGACTCTCTACCAAGAATTATGTCCTTCTCCAAGGAGTCGGCCCTTCTGATGACATGCCCAATAGACAGGAGTTGAAGTCTTATCTTTCTCTAAGATGCATGGATAAACAAAATGTGGTATCTCCATACAATGAAACAAAGAGAAATGAAGCTCTGATGCATGCCATAACTTGTATAAAGTTTGAAAGTATCACGGGGCTGGGGGGAGGGGAACCCCAAACCAATTACATAAGCATAGATTTTTACATGATTTTATGAGAGACTTATTAATCAAATGAAATTTGTGGCGTTCTTTTATCCCAACTGGAACAATTTATAGAAGCATTACTTAGGGTAATTGGTACTTGGCAATTAGATGATGCCAAGGAATTATGGTTAATCCTGTTGTTTATCTGTTAGGAACATACAATAGTATTTAATGCTGAAATCATATAATTTAATCATATAATGATTAAAAATACTCCAAAAAAAATAGAAGATACAATAGGTAATAGTTGAAGCAACGTAACATGTGAGTTCGTTACACTTTTTCTCTACGTTATGTCAAATTTTACAGTGCAAGTGATTTTTTCTATTTTTGTGATTTACTTTTTTTATTAATTTTAATTAACATTTACAGAGACTTTGAATTTCCATTCCGTCACTGTTGCAATTTTCTCCCTGCCCAACCTCCTCCCCCAGTTCGCTCTTCTCTTTGAAAAGTAAAAGAAAAATTCTTTCATTGTTACATAATCCCTCCCCCCCCAAGTCCACTCCACTAAGGCAAGTGATTTCTAAACTCTGCAGAACTATGTGATGCCAGCAGAGTAGTGCCACCGGTTGCTTAAATAGCAGCACAACTCTAATCCTCGTTCAGAGACCAAAAACAACCCACAACACAAAACTTTCGTCCCTTTTACGACGTCAGGATGTCGTAAAAGCCAAACTGCGCAGGCGTAATTGCTCATTTTCCCCGCCCCCCCGCGCTCTACGGCCGCAAGGGCGACGACTGCGCAATAAGACAGCCAGGTGCATTGTGGCTGCCGCTGTGACGGAGTTGGGCTTGGCGGCGCGAGCTCTGCGGTAGTCGTTATCGCACCCGCACCGCCGCCGGACCGGGATCCTTGCAGCGCACCACCGGTGGCCTCAAGCCCGGCCCCGAGGCCTGTGATCAGCCACCATGTCGATCTTCACCCCGACTAACCAGATCCGCCTGACCAATGTGGCGGTGGTGCGGATGAAGCGCGGCGGGAAGCGCTTCGAGATCGCCTGCTACAAGAACAAGGTCGTGGGCTGGCGGAGCGGAGTGTGAGTGAGCATCTACCCGGGGCGGAGCCGGAAGCCCCGGGACACTGCCGGTCTCGGGTCTGTCCGAGTGGGTGGGCCTGTCTCGGGTCTTTGCTGGGGAGGAAGTGAAGACCTCTTCAGATGGTGCGAGGTCACTGCCCTTCTGGGTCTTGGTTTCTGAGCCTGAGGCTTCTTTTTGTGAGTTGTTGGTTGGGGCTGCTTATTTTGTTGGTGACATAAACGACAACCCAGAGGCACCGCAGTTAATACGTGTTTTCCAGAATAGCCATAAAAGCTAGAAGCCTGGTTTTCCAAAAACTTTGATGTTGACAGCCCATCTGTTGGCAAAAAGCCCAATATTTCACCAAAGTGCGTAGTGTCCCAGTGCTGCCTTCTAGAGATCGGTATTTGACGGCCCTGCGTCCACACACTCGTCCCCACCCATTTCGCATACTTGAACTTGACTTGGGTCTCCAGTGAGTAAAGGAATATAAATATACTTGGAGATTTGCAACATTGTTGCCTCACACGGTGCCATCTACCATTTGCAGCTTGTTAATTTGTTTCGTGACCGTTTTTTTATTTAAGGTGGACAGGTGCCCAAGTTTCAGGCGTGTTCACCAGGACTTTCTTTCCTTTCCTCACAGGGAAAAAGATCTGGATGAGGTGCTGCAGACCCACTCAGTGTTTGTAAACGTCTCTAAAGGGCAGGTGGCTAAGAAAGAAGATCTTGTCAGAGCTTTTGGAACAGACAACCAGACCGAAATCTGTAAGCAGGTGAGTTCTGCGAGCAGCAGCTTCTTGTCATTGAGGGGCCTCCAGCAAGTCTAACTCCTAATGACTTGTAGGACCGAGGAGAACTGCTTGGAGGGTTTCCTGAACTGGAATCCTTACAGGAACAGACCTCTAGGTCTGTCTCCCACAGAGCCTTTGGGAGGGTTCGAATCCCTGAACTACTGATTCCAACCAAGGGCTTATTTTTGGCCAGAGCCTCCAATTTTAGTAGAAATTAAGCTTTCTACTTACTACATTTTGCTCATGTGTATGAATATGGAGAGAGATAAATGTACAGGCTGATCAGACTCAAAAATTGATTTATCAAGTCAGAACCGACTCATAAGTGACCCTCCAGTGGGTTTCCAGGGCTGTAAATCGCACAAGTGAAGACTGCCCGTCTTCCTCCCGTAGAGGCTCGGCCTGTGGGTTAACACAGCTCCCTACAGATAGCGCCCGGGACGGATAGATACACTTTTTTTTTTTAAGTCATAATTTTATTTTTCACAAGTAAAAACGACCAATGATGACTTGTCTCTGACAAAGGCATTAAAGAATATTACAGTAATTATGCTAGCTATCTCACAGAGATAGTAGCCTTAAAGAAACCTTTATTATCATCTGGCTCTCAAAGAAAGTTCTATTAAATAAATGTCAAAATAATGTTTTAAACTAAAACATGATAAAATTATCAATAACAAAAAACTTCATAGAACACCTAAAGTGACAGGTGAAGAAACAAAGATGAACTGGAAAATTCATACACTGAGAAGGAGTTCTCCATTAAAATCAAGGAGGGTCAAATCTGCTTATTTTCATAAAAAATATTTATGGCTAGAATTGTGTTTTTCTAAATGTTTCATTAGTAATACTCAATCTTGTAAGTCTGGTTCCATAGTAATCTATAATATAACTACTTCCATCTGAAGGGCCAGCAACCTGCATTGAAATAAGAATGAAATCAGTTAGGCTTCCAATTCCACAAAATCCTACAGTACAAAACTTTAACAAACCCAAGGCTGGGTATCCAAGATAAAATCGATCTGCTCCCAACCATCCAGGAAAAAGAGGGCAACTGCCACCTTATATGAGTAGCCATTTACATTTTGGCAAGATATAGGCTTATAAAAACCAACTTCATTTCCAGTAAAATGTGTTTCATTGCCACTGAAATCTTTACAAGTTATGTTGGGTGCTGGAAAACACAGAACATGAGCTGTGTAGTTTGTACAGTTAACTGGTTCTTGTGTGGTATCATTTATTTTTGGATCTTTATAAATTGTCCCACTTTGAGGTCCTCGCACTTGAGTGTTTCTTCGCCCCCAGGGGAGGCGATGGCAGCAGCCCCCCAAAATCCTGTGGTGGCGGAGACGAACCACAGCACACCCAGGAGATGGGCGGCTAAAGCTTCTGGAGCGGCAGGTGCAGGAGGCCGGGGGGCCGCCATGCTAGGCTAGATACACTTTTTTAATAGCTCCTCTCTGGAAATAGAATTTATTCTCAAGTGCCTTATTTCTTAGACATGTCCGTTAACATCAGCTGGAGAGGATGAAGTGTCGTTTTCTTTGTGTGATTAAGTCTTGCGGTTACTTAGCAGACAGTATCTAATAGAGAATCACTTTGGTGTCACGTTTACTTTCCCCCCCAGATTTTGACTAAGGGGGAGGTCCAGGTCTCTGATAAGGAAAGGCAGACGCAGCTGGAACAGATGTTTCGGGACATTGCGACCATCGTAGCAGACAAATGTGTGAATCCTGAGACCAAGAGGCCGTACACGGTCATCCTCATCGAGCGAGCCATGAAGGACATCCACTACTCGGTCAAAACCAACAAGAACACAAAGCAGCAGGTGAGCAGGCAGGCTAGCGGGGAGCAGCTCCACTGCCGCCATCCGAAGTGGATGCTGGCTGAAGAAATGTGTGTGTACTGCAGCCTGTGTTACGAGGTGACCCGGTGGGGGCCAGTGAGTAGGGTTTGGGACGGCTGACAGAGGTTGTATGAGGAGCAGTAATGCGGTGGGTGTGAGGAGGGGTTTTTAACCATACACAAAAATCAGCCAGAGGGCTAAGCATTGGCAACTCTTTAACTTTTTAGGATTTTTTTCTTAAATTTATAGGTAATTCATTCACTTACCTTAAAAAGTGACCTTTTCAAAATGTACATTGCAATGATATATTCAAAAATATGCCCACTGAGTAATTTCAGAACTTTTTTAAGACCCTAGAGAGAAATGCTGTCTGTTGGCCCCTGTACACAGCTTACCCCCACCCCCTTGGCATTCACCTCTGCCTTTCTGTCTCTGAAGATTGGTCCCTCCTGCACATGTCATGGGCATAGTTTGTTCTATGTACTGTGTTGCTAAAAAACTCAGCAGTTTGGACCCATCCGTTCTCTGAGGGAGAAAAATGGAAGGTGGCCATGAGCCAGAATCGGATGGAGGTGGCCATGACCTTGTGTGTCTTATCATATTTTCAAAGTCTGTCCAGCTCTACCTTGTGTCACTGTGGTAAGCTTTTTATGACTGAATGATGTTCCACCCTCTGCCACGGTGATTTTTTTTTTTGGTGTTTTCCACTTTTTGACCGTTACAAGTAATGCTACTATGAGATGTTGTGAGATGTCTCTTGGGCATATATGTGGGAGTGCAAATAATGGGCCATCTGGTAACTGAGGGACTAAGGACTGCGAGATGGCTTTCCAGAAAAGGGTGCCGCTTTCCATTCCCACCAGCAGTGGGTGAGGGTTCGCGTGTCTAAAGTCTTGCGTGAGGAGGCTGTGGTTGGCGTTTCCACAATGACTGCTGATATGAACAGCTTCTCGTTGTGCTCACCGGCTACTTGTACATCTTTGGAGAGGTGTCTATTCAGGTTACTATTTACAGTTAACGTCTCCCATTCTGTAAGTTATCTTTCACTTTATTAATGCTGTCGTCATTGTGTGCTGTTGAATCGGAACTAATCCATCACTGACCCTTGAACAGGTTTTCAGTGGCACTTAATCACGCCAGCAGAGATTGCCCATCCTCCCACAGAGCAGCTGGATTTGGACCATATGCCTTTGAAATTGCAGGCACAGCTTCTTAGCACTAGGCTACGAATTGATACTGATTTTAAAATGTGAACCAAGGGAGCTCTGGTGGCCTAGTGGCAAGAAGCTGCACTGCAATCCCAGAGGTGTGCGGTTTGAATCCACCAGCTGCTCTGCTGCAGAAAGAGGGACAATCTCCTTCTGTACCAGTCAGATCCGATTTGACAGTACATGCACAGAAAATAATTTTTTAAAAAAATGTGAACCAGAATCTCAGATTCTTAAAATAGCACCTTTTACAGCCAGGTTGAGATTTTGGCTCTGATAACACCCTTTAGTAAAACCTTGAACAGAAATTATTCTTCGGGGTCACCTTTTAGCCAAGTAACAACTTTGCTAGCAAAATAAAGGTGTCACCCGTGGGTGCTGCATTCCTTTAGGAAATCATGTGTATGGGCTCACAGAACTCTGTTGGGGTAGCATTTAAAACAGCCCTCGCTGCCCATGGGGCATAACAAGGTAGTCTGCGGCTATAAAGGTGTACAGCTCTGAAATCCCTACAAGGCAGTGATACTCTAGGTCACTCTGAGTTGGAATCAACTTGACAACAGTGGGCTTGGGGTATGAGACCAGCCGGACAGGGACACTAGACAGTGTGACACAGAAGAACCAGACAGAATAATGGGCATGTCCACACATGTCCATCAGTGTCGCTGGGCAGTTTGTGTCGCAGTTGCTGAATGGGAACCTAATCCAACAGCAGTCCTTTCTCTTTGATGTTATTTTTTACAAAGTTCCATTGATGATTTTCCCTCTTGTTTATGCTCTTAGTGTTATGCCTCCTAACTAATGTCTGATCCAGTGGGAAACAGCTTTGTTTTGAATGACTATGAAATAACATGGATTGCAAAAAAGTTGCAAGAAAGGCCTATACGGTGACCAGTGGCACCAGGGAGGCTCTTTGTAGAAAAAGCAAACTGTATGAGGTCAGAAGAGCAGCATGAGCCAAGGCCAGAGGCAGGAAAGGGGCTGGCCGGACGGATCAGTGGGAATGAGAACCACAGGGAGGAAAGGGGGACCCTGATCACTTTGTGGGCATTATCACTCATGTTACGAAACAAAACATGGAAGAATGAATGAAATCCAGAACAGTTTGGACCCTCTCACTGTGAAAGGAACCCTGTTGGAGCCGCTTCCCTTTGTCTTCCAGGCCCTGGAGGTGATAAAGCAGTTGAAGGAGAGCATGAAGATTGAGCGCGCCCACATGCGCCTGCGCTTCCTCCTCCCGCTGAATGAGGGGAAGAAGCTCAAGGACAAGCTCAAGCCCTTGGTCAAGGTCGTGGAGAGCGAGGACTACGGCCAGCAGCTGGAAATAGTAAGTCGGAACAGTTTTTTTCTTCTTTGCCTCTGCTTCTAGGATAGCTTCTTCTATAACAGACGCTGAGAATCTGTGAGTAGGAAGAGATTTCTAGAAACATCTTTCCTAGCGTACGTTAAAGTGTCAGGATCTACATAGAATTAAGAAAATAAGGAGAGAAAAAATAAGGGAGCACTTCTGAGAGGTAAGGAACTGCACTGCCCACACATAGGTGGTGGTTGTTGTTAAGTGCCGTCGAGTCGCAGGCGACTCATAGCGACCCTATGAAGGAGAGTCCTCGACGCTTGGGTGCCTTTCATCCTCTCTCCAGGTTCATAGGGTTTCCGGAGGCAAGATATTATGGAAGTGGACGCTAGTCCTCCTTCCACGCTTGTTTAATCGGGGAGCTCCACCCACTCTCAGTCCGCATTGGGTAGCCAACCATTAACGCATAGGTACGCCGTTCTAATCGGCCGCTCCGAGGGAGAAGGACGGGTACTCTCCTCCCCTGTGATTTACCGCTTCTGAAAACCCGCTGGAGGGTCAGAACACAACAGCAGCGACCAAGAACGAAGGCACATTGGTCATTTGTTTCAGACATTTTGAACCAACCAGCAAAGCAGCACTGGCACAGACTCATGTTTGAAATGTGGGTAAACCAGGATCCAACCACAAAAAATGATATGCTGCACTTTTTTGTATGAAAAGGACAGGGGTCTTCTGCTCCAGCCCCCACCTTGTAGAGCTGAGGAATGTGGGTTTGCTCTAGCAGGACGTTAGTCCTGTCACAGACTCGAGCCAGACCCACTGTCCTGCCTAGGCAGTCTCTCGTCTGTCAAACCTTAGATGATGATGGGGGGGGGGGGTGTGTGTTATGAGCTGGCTTGCAGGTTAACAGCCACTTCCGCGGACTCGATCCAGACCCACTGTCCTGCCTGGGCGGTCTCTCGTCTGTCACACCTTAGAGGGGTGGGTGTGTGTGTGTTATGAGCTGGCTTGCAGGTTAACAGCCACGTCCGTGATTTCAGGTGTGTCTGATTGACCCCGGCTGCTTCCGTGAACTCGACGAGCTGATTAAGAAGGAGACAAAGGGCAGAGGTTCTCTAGAAGTGCTCAACCTGAAGGATGTGGAGGAAGGAGACGAGAAGCTGGAGTGACAGGCCACAGTCCCTCAGTGTTGCCTCTCCCAACAGTGCTGTCTTGCTTGCCGTGGCCTCTGTTCCTTTTTTGTATCAAACATTTATGTCCACACGAAGACTTTCCTACATAAGCTTAATGACATGGGATTAATTTTGTTCTAATTATAAATTGGGGTTTTGGGTGAAAAGGAAAAGCCCAAGATAGAGTCCAGACTGGTGCTCACGGTCTCCCTCATCTGAGGCTCCCCAGGTGCCGGTTACCTGAGGGAGCTTCTGCCCACACAGGTAAAGGGCTGTGCATCACTGTACGATTATCGTGGAGGGTGGAGGTTCTGTGTAACAAATGGGAGCATTTGTTGAAAAGGAAGAGAGAATGTCTTGTTCACTTCATGAAATATATATAGAGAGAGGGGGGATTGTATCCTGTGTCCTGCTGCGGATTGTATCCTGTGTCCTGCTACGCAGCTCAGGTGAGCGCTCGGTGGTTTGAGCGCTCGGTGGTTTGAGCACTCGGTGTGGTGACTGTGCAGCTTGGTGTTCACGGGGCGTGCTGCCTTACCCGGGCTTCTCCTGGCACAGAGTCACCTACTCTAATCCTTAAAGTGGATAATATATATTCATATAGCTGAAATTATATGTGATCAATAAAACTATTATTTTTATCAAGCCACGGTTTATGTTTCTGGAGTTTCCTAACCCCTTTTGTCCTCTTCTGACCACAGCAGGCTGGAAACTAACCCAGGATGCCAGAGGCTTAGAACAGGGCCTGCCCGAGAGGCCAGCTCTCTCTCACCGTCAGCTAGTCGGAACCACCGGTGGATCCGATCACAGTTGGGCGCAGGCTCTGGGTTTACAGCTCATCTCCCTGTAGACTCTGCTCCTCAAGCTCCCTACGGGGAACCCAGTGGGTCTTGCTGCTTCGTGACTCGGAGCAACCCTACAGGACAGGGTACAACTCTCCTTGGTGTTTCCAAGGGTGTCATCTGTACGGAAGCAGACCTTCCACATCATTTTCCCTCAGAGTAGCTGCTGGATCCAAACCACTGACCTTCAGGCTAGCACTCCAGTACTTAACCATTGCCCCTCTGAGCAGGCATTTTTGCCTTTTAATTATTTTGTTGTTTGGAACATACACTGCAACCATTTGTTAGGTGACATTCGCTTTTACTCTCCCAAGTTTCTCTGTCCCTTCAGGTGCCTGTCTAGTCTTGAGTTTCCATTGTTAGTTTGGTCCAATAAAGATAGTTCTTTAAGAAGCAGTAATCCTCAAGACAGACCTTTTTTCCAAGTTGCTGGGTTATCAGAGGCAATAAATTGCACAAGACACTGCTGCTCATCCTCCCCCATGGAGCAGCTGGTGGACTCGAACTGTGTGCCTCTGTGCCCACTCGTCTGCTGACGGGCACTTGGGTCCTCCCCACCTTCTGGCATCAACGGTTCTGCAGTGCGCACTAGTGGACAAGTCTCTGGGAACCTGCCTGGAGTTCCGCTTTCTCCACAGCTTCACTCACATGTTATTTCCTGAGTTGTTTGATCCCAGCTATGTGTGCGTGCAATGGAACATCTTCACCGCTCTGATCTGTGGCGATCAGTCACCTCCCATGTGATTATCTGCCTCTGAAAACCTGCTGGACGGTCAGCCATGAATCAGCTCTGAGGCGGTTCTGACTCGATGGATGACTCACCACACTGGCTAATGCTGCCGTTTGAATGTCCTCGCTGGTAAAATAACCTGTTGGAGGCTTTTGCCCATTTTCTAATTGGATCATCTTTTTGTTATTAAGTTGACATTTTAGAATTATTTTGGTTATTAGAGTTGTCAGCTATACAAATTCCAAAGCTATTCTACCAGTCAAGAGCTGGCCGGAGTCTTCATGTAGTGACTTAATTCACAACAGCGTGAGCTCGGTCCTGCACCATCCTCCTCAGGGCCGCTGACGTCCAACAAGTGAGGGGACCGAGAAAACTGATGGACGACTACACAGCACTCAGGAGCAGCAATTTTAAAAAGTAAGAAGCGAGGCAGCATTATGCTGAGTGAACTCAGTTTCGTAAGGACAAGTACCGCCTAAGACTAGACGTGTATAAAAGTGGGAAGGGGAGGGGAGCAAGGGAGAGGAGGAAATCATGGCGTGGCAGAGTTTGGTAGGTGGAGGGAGGGGTGCAAGAATTAGGAAAGTGAAGTCTTGAAAAGACTGGGTAATGGTGGGCATAGATCAATGATTCATTTTATAAAAAACAATATATGGATATAATACAATATGAAGGAAGGTATGTGTGAAACACAATGTACATGAATGAGACACAATATATACAAATTTTGCATGCAAACCAATACAAAATAAATTTTTCAAAAACCCCAAGCTCACTGATTATATAGTCCTGGCGTCAGGAGCGTAAAGCACCCTTTACTTACCATCTGTTCTCACACCGGTCTCAACCTTTGCCAAATCAACACCACGCCCACTGCTGTCAACGCTGACTCACATGACCCTGCAGGACAGGGCAGAACGGCCTGTGGGTTTCCAAGACTGGAAAGCTTACCTTGGGAGGAAAAGTATTATATTTTATATCTGGCTGTGTTATAAAAATGTGTTCTAAAGCTGATGGTGGCTTTGAATTGCTAATCTTGAAGTTAACAGCCAGGTGCTTGAACAGCTCCATCACCAGTCTCCTAATCAACAACTAGCATGTTCTAAGACATTTAGGGCCTTCAGGGTTGAAAAGTGGGTTCTCACAGATGACTGGAGAAAGGTTTGCTCAAGATAATGTGTGGACAGTGAACTTGACTTCGTGGGGCTTCATCTGCCTTGTAAACCTTGCTCGTTTGGGAACCTGAAGATAGGTGAGGCCCAGGAACCCCCTACGGGAAGAAAATGGTTTGACTGTGAAATTTCAAATTTGGCATCCCGCAAAGGGTTTATGTAACTCAGGAAGGTGCTACCGTGGACTAAACCATGTCCTCCAAAAATACGTTGAAAATCCTACTACCTGTACTTGTGGAGGCTCCACTGTACAGTGGTCAAGTGCTGGCTACTGCCTAAAGGGGCAGTCACTCCGCAGAAATGAGGCTGGCTGCTCCTGTTGGACTCCGAGGCTGGAGCCTTGGAAACCCCACGGGGCAGCGGGCCTCGGTCCTGTGGGAGGGAGGCCGTGGGTCTGCAGGTCTGAGAGTGCAGTCCAAGGAGCCCAGGTCCCCGTAGGCTGCACCTTACCAACCACTCTGGAGATGAAGGTGCTACTGGGGCAGAGAACAAGGCAGTGCCGACGGAGGACAAAGGATGATGCCACGTGGACACCTCCGAGGAGCAGACTCCCCAGCGCCAGTGCCTCAGTCCAGACCGCCAGCTCCTGAATTGTGGGGAAAGGCGTTCACTAAAGCCAGCCCCTGTGGTGTTTGCTGCATTCGGCAATGGAGGCAGGTGGTTTGGGTTTTACTTCGTACCTATTGAATGTTCCCTCCTGCGCTACAAAACACCTTTAACCACACACACCCAGGACTGCCGGAAAACGTGTCTCAGAAACAGGGTGGTCAGAGTGCTCCTGAGAAGCTGGGAAGGTGACGGTCCTATATACATCGGACATGGCAACACGGGGGTCTAGTCGCTGGAGGACATCATGCTTGACGGAGGCCCAAGGATTCAGTAAGAAAAGGGGGGACACCCTCCACCAGATGAACAAAAGCTCAGACACCGCAGTGACTGCGAGGCTGCATGGGACAGGGCAGGGTCTCGTTCCGCTGTACTCAGGGTCAGTGAGAGTCAGAAACAACTGACCGACCGATGCCTACCACGTACGTCATCTCAGGGGAGGACCGACCTCTGCGGGGCAGCGCCAGGGGTAGGTGTGCAAGCACTTGGTTGAGTCAGCTCCATGAGGTTGACCACACGCTGGAGAGGACAAGCCATGCCCTCCCCTCACCCTGCTGGCAGCTGCCACTTCCAAACCCTTCAGAGTCCACGCCCGGCGGGAGGAAACAGACATTCCAGATCAACTCGTGTTTTATTCTAGAAAGCACAGATGCACATATTCCAAACACAGAAAATTAACCTGGGAGGGAATGCCGAAACAGATCAGCTACTGACCACCATGCAATAGGACAAGGGGGACGACTCCGCTGGCCCTCGCCACCCACAATGCCCGCAGGGGGATGGGAAAACTGGGACAGGTGGGATCCCTACAGGCTGCCAAGGGAAAAATGCAACAAACGTGGCAGGTTCCTAATGACGAGGGAAACAGACAAATAGAATCAAAACTGATTCAAGTCAGACAGTGAAGAATGAGAGGAGAAAGGAAGAGATCAATATGATCTGAAACAACCACTTTAATAGCAAGTTGCTGGCCTTTTAGGGGCCCTACGGTGCAGGATGCCTGGGGTCGCGCCAGTGTTCCAGTGTGGGGTCACCTCTGAATGCGCCCGGCCCTGTCTGCTAGTTGTCCAGTCCTAATGTCCACCAGCAAGAGGCAGCTGTGTCCACAAATGTCCAGACAGCAGCAGTCCACAACGTGCTGAGATGCAAAGGAGGTCTCCGTCTCCAGGTTCGAGGCCTCTGCTCCTCTTAGTCTTCCTGCGATCAGCCAGCAAAAGACTGACACCAGCTCTGTGCATTTCCACAATACCTGCTAGGGTGAATGCTGATTTTAAAAATGTGTGTCCTGGCCTCACCACAAGTCACAGTGTCCAGGCATTTTTGGCACTTCCTTTCTTCATGTCTAACAATCCACCCCAAGCCACAGATTCCGGCCACACAACTACAATGTGCTGACCCAGTGCAATGGGCACTTCTCACCTTTCTTGTCCACTGTTAGCATTCTGGGCCTGTCACTCCATTTTGCGGAGATATAACTAGTTCAGGAACAGCTTCTGAAATCTGAGTCTCAGTGACATGGAGCTTGAAATGAACGAATTATTCACGCATGCACCATGTAAGCAATCCTCAAACAGTGGCCAGATGAATCGGATGCCTGACCTTGGAGTGTACTTACAGAAAAAGGCGTGAAGACACTGACTTGATCACACTGATTGTTCTAGGCATCTCCACTTGCAGGCCCTGGTTATTTTCCACTCAGGAAGCTTAGGACAAGGCGGTCCAGGCCAGCCAATTAACATACTGCAGGAGCCGGCTCTCATCTCAGACAGACAGCAGACCTAGCAGGAAGGACGGACGTGCCCAATCACGTCCAGCCTCCCCTGCCCTCTGCAGTTAAACTGCCTGGGAGGACACTGATGCCATAAAGACACTGAGCTACTGAGGCAATCAGTGTTTACAGTAATACAGGGAACCCTGGGCACAAGCTGATGCAGAAAAACTAGAGAGGGAGGAAAGGCACGTCAGGGATACGAAAGCCACGAGGAAGGAGGCGAGAAAACACACAGCTGTGTGTGCACGTGCGTGCCTGTTTGAAAGCAGACAGACTAGGAGGGGGAAAGGGCGGAGGGCGTGGATCATCGGAACATCACAGGAAAGAAAACGGCAATCAGAATTCTCCTCTTTCCAGCTTCACTTCATCCCAGCACTGAGGGTGGTTCTCCACCTGCCAGACAAGTTGTACAAAACCAAATGCAGAGAGCGGGGCAGCGACAAGTCCGCTCCCTCACATCCAAGCACGCAGCCCTCTTCTGACTGATGAGCGTGCTCCCCTTCCCGTACTGTCACCTGAATCCCAGAGAGAGAGGCTCGGCCCGACCCCCACAGGAGCCCCGGGAAAGGGGCCTGCTGGCAGGCGGTTAAACACGCAGCTGTGAACAGCAAGGCTGGCTCGTGGAAATCGCCGGGGGGAAGGGACTGGTAATGTGCTCCAGCGAGGAGACGGCCACGCTGCCACTCGAGGTCGCTGAGACCAGGACCAAGCCAGACTGACCCAACTGCACACGGCAACAACGGGCTGGTTTTGTTAACCCTTGGGAGCAAGGACGTGACTTTACCGTCTGTAACCAAGAGGCAGGGCTAACAGAGGGAATCTGACAGTGGCTCATTCTGCACCTACCCCACGACCAGGCTCTTTACGATCCACGGGGAAACCCATGGGGGAAATGCGTGATTTCTAAATATTTAACTTTTTTTTACTTGGGAGAAAAGCACAAATCTGTCCTAACTGGATAGTAGTAAAAGGTGACTATTTTATTTTCTTAAAAAAAAAAAAGAAACTTAGAAAGATAGGTGTGTGTTTCCTTGCAAGCAAACGGAGAAAAGTGTATTATCGCTGTTACTATGATTACTAAGCCACAGACACGCTGGGTCCACGAAGTGGCCTGGTGGCTCTGGGAATGCAGAGTTGTATCCGAGGTGCAAGCTGGTCACACACTCTGTGCAGACTGGGCAGGACCAGAGCGAGCCACAGCCCCGCCACCGGCCACACGACACCAAAGAGGGCATCACAGCCTGGGCCGAGGCCGCACGGTCCGCCAAGGCCCAGGCAGGCGCAGCCACCCGGTCAAGTCCGCCACGAGGCCACGGGCTTCGGGCTGCACCAGTGTGAAGCACGTGCATCGTCGGACCAATTTCGCCTCAATTTTTATAAATATGTACAAATCAGTTACAGGCACTTGAAATGTCTTTGGCTGGAATAACCCAACATTGCAAGACAACGTATTCACAGAGTGTCCGGGCCCAGGCTGGGTTCAGCAGGCAATGACTAAGGTTCTCGCAGTCTCTCTCAGGAAGACAGGAGGCAGCAGACTAGGCTTCAGCCAGAGCCACCTGCAAGAGAGCGAGATCAGGAGCCGGTCACCAGAGAGGCAGAGGACCTCGGCCCCAGGTCCCCTCAGTGGCTCCAACACAGCCACAGACCAGGGAGCCGCCCTGCAGGCAGGCACTGGCCATCAGACAGGCTAGGAAATCCCCTCAAGCCCTGGAACTACTGCCCTCAGACCACCTTCAGCCTTCATCCAAAAACAGCCCAACATCATCTTAAAACCAAACAACAGTTCAGCTTAACCAGGAGCAAGTGTCTGTCTTGAGCACTGTGTTCTCTTAAGAATCATGAAGAGGTGGTGGTGAAGAGAGCTAAATACATCATGGACTTCCGAAAGAACAAACCAGTGTAAGAACACGGTCCCCCAGTCAGCACCCTTCGTGGCCTATGTTAAGTGTGACCCACCACAATGTTATTTAGGCTGAGAATAAAGCCAGCCTGCCCACTCCCCCCACCAGCACACAAGGGCGAGTTCTGGTTTTCTGCAGACAGACAGCCCCACTGAGTGGAGCACAGCCAAGTCCCAGCTCACCTTCTCAGGACAGGACTCGGGATTGCTCTGACGTAATTTGCTGGGTCTGCCTTTGATAGCAGCGTAGCAAAACATGGTTATGACCATCACGAAGAGGAAGTAGCTGGTGTGCATGAGGTGCAGGTTGATTAGTGAGCGGTCGTCCTGGGGAAGCAAAGGGCAGAAGGTCAGCCTGGGGCCGCCACGGGAGCTGCTCTGCGGCTTCTGGGCACTCTAGACGGCGTGTGCGGGTCAGTGCCGTCCTCAGTAGGAAAGTACCTGCGAGGTTTACTCCCTGGTAACCCCTGAGAGTCAGGGACACAGCCACTATTCAGCGAAGCGGGACAGGGTGGGACCAGTCCTCCGACCCAAAGCGGGGCGTGTTCTCCCAAGTTTCCAGCAACTAGTGAGATATCCCAGCTGGGAATCCAGATGGGATAATGGCAGCCACGGCAGCGAACAGTCCCCAGCCATACACAGGCACACACACACTCACACAGGCACACACCACGTGTCTATCCACGCACAGCTGTCCTCACTTACGTCTGGAACGATAACCGTGAGCTTGGGGTTTAAAGCATGGTATACTTTGCCGATGGCGCCCTTGTAACACCAAAAAGGATTGTAGTCTTGAGCGTATTTTGTGTTGGCATCTCTGGCGGTTGTGAAGATCTTGTACCAGAGTGTGGCGTTGCTGTACGTGTCGGGGACACAGTGTGGTGGCTGCCTGCAGGGTCGGGGAGAGACAGGTGCTCAGAGGCCCACGATAGTTACTTACTGCTCCTGAGCCCCTGGCCCGGCGAGTGTCAAACCCACGGCACCAACCAAAAGCCCAGCCACCTTCCAGTGGACTCTCACTCCCAGCAGCCCTGCAGGACTGAGCAGAAGGGTCCCATCAGGTACCCAAAGCCATCAATTTTTACAGAAGCAGGTGGTGGCTTGAAAGCACTAACTCTGTGGCCAGCAGTCCAGTACGTAACCCACTGCACCACGAGCCTCCTTCCTGGAAAAGACATGTACAAGAGATCCACAGACGTTTCTGACAACTTTCTTTCTCTTGGGACAAAAAACCAAACCCGCAGGCTTCGAGTCGGTTCTACCTCAGAGTAACGTTAACATACCTTTTGGTTTCTGAAACTCTAAGTATTTTTCTTTCCTTCTAGTTATTTGTGTTTGGAGGGGTCGTCATCCTGTTCCTGAGGCTGTCAGTCTTACCTGGGGGGAACTTCCCACCTCTCCCTGAGAGGACGTGGTTTGCACTGCTGGAGAAGCAGCATCTCCCCAGGCTGAAACTCCACCAGCAGGGCTCCTGCTCTGTCATGGGCACCAGATGCCTTTGTCTGAGGTCCCTTTTTTGTTTTTTTTAAAAAGTGTGGGTGTGCAGTCTGGCCTCTGGACGTCACCCATCAGCTCCATGACCAGGGAGGTCCACTGTCCTGCAGTCCATCTGAAACACCCTCCATTCTCCTGGCATCCCAGATCCCATCATGCTGTCTTCAGGGCCTCGGAATCTGCCCTACAAACCCCGCAAGGTCTAAAATAGACCAGTCCCGGGACAACTGTTCTTATTACTAATGGATTCATGGCAGAGTTCTTTTAAATAGGCTGTGCTGCAGGTCTGCACGTTTCTCTCTAGACTGTAGGGCTGCACTGGCTCAGGGGTTAAGCGCTCAGCTCCTAACTGGACGCCCTCTAGCCTCAGGAGGTGGCAGCCCCGGGGCTCTGCAGGCCAGCACTACAGGGTCGCTAGGAGTTGAAGAACATTCGGCGACAACAGGCTTTTATATTTATGTTTAGATCGTTCTCCCAGAAAAGAGGCAGGCTGATAAAAACCACAACTTCAAGGCAGAGCAGTAACCCCCATCTCACTCCAGCTGAAGCCAGGGCCTCAGAAATAGCAATGAGAAAAACGAGCTCAGCTTACCCTCCCAACACCCTCTGGGTAACGAAAAGGAAGAAAAGTCTGCCTCTGCAGTGCCCTTATGTGGGGTCTTCCCTGGTGGTCCATTTACTGAGCAGGTGGACTTGACCTTCACTGCTCACTGATGTGCTCTGGTAGGAAAGCCAGCCCCTGGGCAGTCCCAGCACCTTACCATCCGGCTGAGGTGCTGTCTCCCTTAAGCTTCCCCCGCCCAAACATACACACAACAGTCCCCACTTTAGAATTCTACACTCACAGAGCCTGGGGACAGTCAACCCATGGAGCCCTTTCTACGCCAGCCCTAGACAGAAGCAGCCTGGTTACACTGCGTATATGCCGTGTCCACAGGGTGCGGGCACCACTTACACAGTTACAGGGAAGACCCCAAGGGCAGCAGTGAGGGTCATGCAGGCCGTGAACACCACCTGCTCACAGTGGCCGTGCAGGGCACGGTCGTCAGCGCTCCAGGCTGTGGGCAGCGTGAAGGTGATGTTGATCTCCTCATGGGCCTCCCTACCTGCAAGGGGGTGGGGGACATGTGTTAGTGTCAGGGTGATACAACCTGAAAGCAGCCCCGGGGGTCAACACACCTGCCAATGCCCGCCTCTGTGGGGTCTACTGCTTCAATTCACTGCTCTTCGCAGATACAATTCTTACAAACTGCAGGTGTGGCAACCCTGAAGGATCCCTGAAGGGTTCAGACAGTAAGAGGTCTGCTTAACCAGCAAATGTTCCAGGAACACCTGAAACCCTTGGAAACAAGGAACTCTCGGTAGGATCTAGGTTGAAAACAGTTCAGATTTAGTTCTAAGAAGTGATCAGTCAGCACACTTCTGAGTCCGTTACCCCTAAAGGGTTAATGACGCTAACAAGATCTCCTGGAATGCAGGGGGTTACAAACAGCCTCTGGCACTTCCCTGTGAACTCTCCACACTTTCATCAACAGCCTTTGATCAGACTGACTTACCCATTGGCTTTCTTGTAATAAGATTAAGAGAAAGAACACAGAGCCTTGATTAATCAGAGATAACTTAGGCTAGTAAGAACACTGCCTGTTTTTCTTTACCCTGGAAAAAGTGTGCTGTGCCGCTTCTGTAACAAACAGGAGCATGGGGAAGCTCTAGTTGCCATTCGCTAACAGAGCCCACAGTCCTTCGTCTCCGTATCTCGTCTCTGCGTTCTGCAGCCCGCACTCACAGCCCCACGTGTGTCAGCCCCTCATTTCCAGCAAGCAGCACATGCTCACTTAGCGTCCTGAGTCCCCTCTGGGTCGTCCCCACAGTATTTACCACTTTCCTATCATGCTTGGGGTACACACGTGACGACTACTGCAGACCACCCCCTGATTATGTACCGCACCCTTCACCCCTCTTAGGGCCCATCTACCATCCATGCACGGATCTTCCCTGGACGCTAAAGGGTGACCAGCTCAGCAGCACTAATGGCAGGAAGACACGGAGAGGCCACCTCGCGACGACTGTGATCCACATCAAAACCCAAATGTTCATGAATGGCCGAGCGGAAAACCAATGTGCTCTATAACCTTACAGTCAAACCACAAGAAAGAAAGAAGCAGACCAGTGGAGACGGTACATGCAGTGGTTCTACAACCAAGACATCGTGTGACTGGCTTTACTGAGCAGTTTGGAAATGAGCCTCCACATGTGTGACAGCCCAAGCGTCCCAGTTTCCCACTGAGGGTTTTACAGGCCGAAGGACAGCCGTAGGGCTGCAAATGATGGAGCCTGGTGGCTATGGGTCACAGTCGACGTGACAGCACACCAAAACAAGTGAAAGTCTACGTGGCTGAACACCACAAAAGAAAAAGGTCTCGCAGCTACGTGGAAAACATGGCCAACATTTCACATGTCCGTTTTCAGTATTACCTAACAGACACACATGCAGGCAACCTCAGGACACCACAGCTTTGAACTCAAATGCAGATTTTCTTCACAACCGCCATGGGTGTGAAATGTCTCTATGCAAGCGGTCAGCCGTGGACACAGTAAAAGTGCTCTTCCCAGGCTCCTGCTCGCTTTCCATCGTGTTCAGTACACACTGCAAACCCCACACACCACCATGGGTCGTGGCGGGGACTGGGCGTTCCCAAAAGACATGTCAACAATGCAAAAACGTGTAAGCGATGAATGACCCGCACGGTCTGATAAGCAAAGGAGAGTCGGGGGAGTGAGGAGCTCTGGTGGCCTCGTCTGTAGGGAGCTGCACTGTGAACCCAAAAGGTTGCCCCTTTCCGGCAGTTCAAACCCCCCAGTCACTGCTCTCACTCCATCTGTCTCCTCCCTGGGTCCCAACTCCATGGCAATAAGTGAAGATGAAATCCACACCACTTAATCCTGTCAATGTCTTAATCAGATTTAAGGGCATTTCTGCAGGGTACGGCCCGTGGAGACAAAAGGGCAAGAGAGAGGGAAGCGATAAAGCTCCCTGACACTGGGACGTCTCCAGGGAACGCCTGTCTTATTACAGACACTGAGAATACAAGGACTTTCCTCCACAACCAACAGAGAAGGATGGCTTCCCCTACAGCCAGACCTCCAAAGTGCAAGAGAACACGCTACCGTGTGTGAAAGCCAGCCACCTGGGGTACCCCCAACAGTCACACTAGGGAACAAAGACATCAGAGGACCCCCATAAAGTGCCACATAAAGATGCTGGAAGTTCTCCCAAGCAGCAGAGTCATGGCGTTACAGGACAAGGCTGGACTGCGTGGTCTGCAGTGGGCACTGCCCAGCACGTCAAGACAAATGAGCCCAGCATGAGCACCAGTGCAGACAAAGAAAGGGAAATTCAGGAAGCCGGAGCTGCGGCTTCACCAACAGACAGGAAAATGTTCTCTTTCTTCCAGTATCTTTTAAAGCACAGTTTTTATGTGAGTGTGCTATATAACACACACAAAATATGTGTTAACTGACTGGACGCCTTACTGAAAAGGCCAAGAGTAGGCTATGAGTTGCTAAATTTTGGGGAGTCAGAAGTTGCATATGGATTTTCAACTGTGTGGGGAGACTGACACCTCTAGTGCCTTGCTATTCAAGGGTCAGCTGTCTGCACACCCATATTTATTGCTGCTTTGTTGACAATAGCAGAGTTGGAAACAACCCAAGTGCCCATCAACAAACAAATGGATAGAGAAGCTGTGGTATAATCACACAATGGAATACTATGCAGCACTGAAAAACAAAAACTCATGAAATATTACACAAAATGAATGATCCTGGAGGACATTATGCTGAGTGAAATATCTCAGTCACAGAAAGACATACTGCCTAATACCACTGTTATAAAACAGGACTGACATGGGGGCTGGGGGGAACCAAGAAAAGAGGGGATAAATAGTGTTCACAGCATTGACACAGAAGAGGGAAAGAACTGTATAAAAGGGATATAGGATTGGGTATTATTGGCATGCCAAGAGCCCAGAATAAGAGTTGCGGAGTAAAGTGGGGTTGGGGGAACGACAGCTGTGTAACAATGAAAGAACTTTTTCCCCAAGGAAAAAAAGAGAAGAAAATGTGCAACAATGAATGAATAGAAATCCAAGTTCTTCATAAACTTTCATTAAAATCTCAATTTAAAAAAAAAAAGTCAACTGTCTACCTTTCCGTGGTGCCAGAAGCTACTCAGCATGTGCAGTAAACATTCGGAGAATCACACATTCGCAATGGAGAGACGGGGCCTGAGGCTTTTTCTGGTTCTTCACTGCAGACAGCACAGTGCTGAACAAATGCTGGGCATGTAAACATGTGTAGACTGGCAGCAATATTTGCAAAAAGTGTTAAGGACTCAGTGAGCTAAGCCTGAATTAAAAGGTTCTTTCTTATGTAAGTTTAAGGGGTCCTTTCAGTTTTTATGAAGCATCTACTGGATGCCAAGCACTTTATCAGTGGAAATGGGCCATTCTTTCCCCTCTCTTCTTTTTCACTTAAAAGTAGTATTTTATTGGCAAGCTCTGATGGCCTAGTGGCAAGAAACTTCACTGTAATCCCAGAGGTGAGCAGTTCGAATCCACCATATGCTCTGCTGAAGAAGGAGGGACGACCTCCTCCTATACCAGTCAGATCTGATTTGACCATGTACACACACACAAACACACCCAGATGCTCTGCTGGAGAAGGTGGGGCAACTTCCTCCTGTGCCAGTCAGATCTGATTCGATGGTACACAACAAGGAAATAAATAAATAAATAAAATCTAAAAAAAAACCCAACCCCAAAAAAATAGTATTTTATTGTGTTCCAGTGAATTAAACAGTTCCTCTTTGACTCTGTCATTAAAGCTCAACCAAAAGAGAGACAAACCATCAACTGTCAAGCTCAAACAGGCTACCATTCAGCAGCAGAGACGGACAGGACAGGAGGATGAATGGAAACGGGACATACAAGGAGGGAGCAGGAAGCTTCTATGACACTCTGGGGCTTGTGATCAAGATCACGAAACAATGCAGATGGCCTGCTGAGAGGAAAACCAACCTGCTCTGTGCAAATCACAATGAAAAAACTAATTTATTTTTTAAAAAGAGAAAGAGACAAGCAAAAATGAAAATGGCAGTGCTAAGCAGTGCTAAGCAGTGCTAATAAGCAGCACACACTGCCCCACACCCCGCCCTGCTCACGTACCTGAGAGGCCGACCTGGTGGCCGAGGATGGTGGAGTACAGGTGGGTGACATTGCGGGAATACCCTCCGAAGGGTCTGAGTGGGTCCAGGGTCAGGGTGATTGCAACAGAGATGTTAACTGGGCCCGAGTCCTCCAGGGCCTGGGGGGCCTGGGTGGACACCCTGGCCTGCCCACTGGTTGCTGTGCTTTCTGGAGTAGTTGTGTCATTTGTGAGGTGTTTCAGCGTCTCATTCTCTGATACGCACAAGTCCAGGTCATTGAAGCGCAGCAGAAACGTGTTCCAGTCCTGCAAGAAGACCAGACCAAGAGGAACCATGCGAGGGGTCCCTGCACCCCACAGGATGGTGCCTGCGAGTCGGGGACGGAACAGGACACCGAGCCCTAACAGGAATACTGTGGGTACAGAGTCAAGCGTCTGCCAAGAGCAATCACAGCCCCCCAGCCGTCAGCCTCGCCTGCTGGCACAGCAGAGCAGCTTTCCCACCAGTTCAGGTTCAAAACCTTTCATGCACTTTCAGCATTAGATAGTTAAGAAAACCAAGAGTAATAAAATAATTTATGCAAGAAAATGTGAAATGCAAAAGAGTCCATTATGCTTCCAGAAAATAACCCATTCTGAGAATCTAAGTCCTAAATTCTACAGTAAAGGCAAAATCAGGACTAGGTTTTCTGGTGTGCAGCCCCAAAGAGTTCCCAACACAGCAACTGCCTATCCTGCACCCCTGCGTTCTAAACAAGACTAAAGGACACAGTGACAATGGACCATGATGATAGTGCAGGATAGGAGAAGATTCAGACATGTTGTTCACAGGGTCGTTATGAGTCGTTGGCTTAATGGCACCTAACATTAACCACAGGGTTCTTTTCTGAAAAATAAAATCATCAAATTAGTCCTAAGGAGCCCTGGTGGTTCAATGGTAAGGCACTGGGCAGCTAACAGGAAGGTGGACAGTTTGAATGATTCCACAGAGTAAAGACCTGGTGATCCACTCGCGTGAAGACTGGTGGTGGTGTTGGGTGCTGTCGAGTCGGAACCACTCAGCTGACACTCCAGTGGGATTTCAGAGGCAGTAAACTGCCGGGAGGAGACTGCCCCTCCTCCTCCCGAGGAGCAGCTGGTTTCAAACTGGATTTGAACTGCATACCTCTGGAACTGCAGAGCAGCTTCTTACCACTATGCCACCAGAGCTCCCTCTCATAAAGACTGCAACCCTGGAAACCAGATGGGACAATCTTACCCGCCACCCGGGGCCTCCTCCACCACCACAAGTTAATCCTGCAGTCCCTGGCACTGTTTCCCACACAGCTTGGTTCCTTCCTTAAAACCAGCCAAGGTCAAGCCAGCCTCACTCTGACCAGGAAGTGCTGGTTGTCCAGGATCCACCTTAGCCAGAGGCCTTGGCCTTGGCCGAGGGGTCAGCAAGACTCGAGCTCTGCAGGACAGCAGTGCTGGGCGCCTCTGAAAATGCAGGCAAGGTTTGGAAAGGAGAGTCAGACCATCTCACGGGTATGTTAGTAAAAAATTTCCTGAAAAGGATTGATAAACTCCTTTTAACACAATTAAAACTCACCTAACTGTATTCGAGAGGTCACTAATGACGGTCAACCCTTATGCCAAGGTAGTCTATGAGCCAGAAGGTCAAAGACACAAAGGAAGCCATGAGCTCAGTGGCTCTGAGGATAGTGTCCTTCCTACCACAGGTAGAGAGTATGGCCACCAATGCCATGCCAATCCCCACCCTGACCCCCATCCCCGCCAGACACAGGTAGGAAGCATTACTGTGCTGCTGGTCTGGACCTGAACCTGTTGCACCTCCGGGGTTGCCTGGAAGTGTTCCCAGCAGAGTGAGTCCGAGATGAAGAGAGCACACTGTGAACAAATACAGAGCTTCCCACTGGGAGGAAAAGGCCCCCAGCCAAAGAAACAGAGCTGCGAGCCCACAACGAGGCTGCTCCGAGCCATACCTCTGTCATCCCCGGGGACTTGATCTCCTTGATCTTAAAGAAGTAGCCCAGGGTCAGGAAAGCGATGGCCATGGCGCTGACACTGATCATAAAGACCACCAGGGGCGGCCGGCTGCTGATGTACAGCTTCAGGTTCTCCAGGGGGTTGATGGCGAACATTATTCTGATCCACCTGAAAAGCAAGCAAGCGACATGAACGTCAGGAGCTGCCAGAGGGTGGGCTGGGACCGTCACTTCGGCTTCCTTTTGTAGTGTTGGGGGAGGGAAGGGGGCGAGCGTAGAGAGCCCTCAGTACTGAATATTCAAAATGCACTGATCACTCAAAAGCTGAGGCAGACAACAGACTGTTCACTGCTGTTCTCTGCAGTGACAGGATCTTGGAAGACAGGAGTTCTCCAGCGGTTCGAATCTTCTCAATGGCCTGCACTGAACACCGCACCCTCACGTTGCTTCAGACCATATTTAAGTGGGAGGCAGATGGACAGTCTCCTCCCATCAGTAATGAAACACACACAGGTCAGCACTTACAAGACTAAGCTGGGAATGCTCTGCTTTCCCGCCACGGAGAAGCTGAGCCCATCATTTCAACACTGCCCTACCTAACACTGCTGTATCTACCAGCCGCGTCTACCCCAGCACTGCATGGAGCACTTCCGTTCTGAAACCGCTCCTTGGGCCGCCGCCTAGACACACAGGAGGTGTCACAGCTCCCGGCCACAGCCCACAGGGTCTCAGGACCCCGAAGCTCTGCTAGCCATCTGACTGCATGGCCATCCCTCCTCCCTAACCGGGCTTTGCCTGGACTGGGTTTCTGGTATTCTATAGGGTCAGCAAAGCAACATCTGCAAGAAGCCACCTGGGACTGTGATAAAGCCAGTGTTGAACTTGGAGATCAGTTTGGGGAGGACTGCCATCTTAACAATATTCGGTCTGCCAGGCCAAGAACATGGGACGTCTGTCCCTTTAGTTCATGTTCAAAGCATAGGTCTGCACCTGTTCTGTTAAGCTTATTCTTAAGTGTTTTATTGCAATTTTGGGAACTTGTCAACATTGTTCCTTCCTGGCTGAAGGAAGGCTTTTATCTCTGCTTTTCATGAAAAACTTCCACATGCTTACTTCTCTCAAAATGTAGGTCTCTCCTCAGCAGTCAGCCCTTCAGAGAAACTATCCCTGGCCATCCCTCATGCCCACTTCCAAAATCCCTTAGTGCCCTGCTTTATTTCCTTCATGCCACTTGGTGCCAGTCACCGGTACAATTCTTTTTCTACTTCTTTTTCTGAGTTCTACGAGAGCAGAGATGTTGCCTATCTTGTTCACTGCTCTTTCACCCTAACCAATCCCCACAGGAATAGCAGTCAAGACATCAAACAACATACTGTACCCAGAAAATGAGCTGCCAAGGACCTCTTTAAAGAGCTAAAGGGCAAGGATGTCACTTTATAAACCAAGGTGCATCTGAACCGGTATTTTCAATTGCTTCATATGCATGTGAAAGCACGTTGGACAATAAATCAGAAAGACCAAACAAAAACTGAATCTCTGAATTATAGCAAATCTGCCTTTGAAGGAATACAGCCGGAGTGCTCCTTCGAAACAAAGATGTGAGAGTTTGTCTCACATACTTTGGGCACATTTTCAGAACGGGCCAATCCCTGAGAAGGACGAAGGGCTTGTAGAGGGTCAGGGAAAATGGCAAGGACCCTCAAAGAGAAGGCCTGATATGTTACGACAATGGACCTAAGCAGAAACAATGGAAGAAATATTGTAAGCGTGTGTTCAATTTTAACGAATCCTTTCTCTGTAATCTCTAACCAGTGTTTCTCCTTTACCAAATTTGTGTTAGCTTGAACAATGTCAATAAACTCTCGGGGGGAGGGGAGGTGTGTTTTTTTTTTCAGATGCACCTTCGAACTATGTCGATAAACTATCATGTTGACTAACATTTGTATTTCTAGATAAAGTAGTATCACTGTGATTTTTTTTTGAAAGCTACTTATGCTTGCCAATTCTATCCTAAATTTTCATATTTATTCCTAATCGAGGCAAGAAAATCACTGGCCACTACCATACTCTCCTTGACTGTTTATAGTACCTCAAATTCACTGCTGCCTCACAGCTAACCTTTGCACTGGGTTTCAGAGGCTGTGAATAGCAGGGCCGTGGCCTGAGGAGCCACTGGGTGGATCCGAACCACTAAAGTGGTATGGCCTTCAGGTTAGCTGCATGACTCCCAGCACATGTGGTACCATGAATTTAGCTACATTTGTTCACTCTTATCTATTTTTCTAGAACAGTTTGTACAAGGAGCTTGTACGTCTCGGAAGTCTGACAGAGCTTGGCTATAAACCCAGCTGGGGCTGCCAAGTTTTTGTTTGGATTTCTATTCTGGTGGACTGTCACCCTCTTATTCATGTTTTTTAATGGCTATAAGTCTGTTTTCTATTTCTATTGTGTCAACTTTAATGAGATCGATGCTTCTCGTCAACGGTCCATTTTAAGCTGGCTCCTCCGACCTGCGGCTCAGTGTTACTATGTGATCTGCACAATGTTTATGTTACCTGCAGTGAGGCTCGCTCTCATTACAAATGCTTCTGCGTGCTTGCCTGCCTTCTCCTCTCTCTTCAATCACCCGTGCCTGAGCTTGAAGACATGTTTCTTCCAAACCCAGTATGTGCTTTTTTAGATGGCATCTAGATCATCTCTATTCTATTTCAGAATTTCTACACATACATGCACGCGCGCGCACACACACACACTATGACTTTCTCCTCCAGACTCTCTATAGACTGACTCAGTTGAGTTTTTCTAACATCCTCAGTTGAAATTTTAAATTCTTTTTCTCTTCTAATATAGACCCCTCAGAACCCAAATTCCCCTTAGCATACTCCTCTTTGAGCTATCATCCCTTCTCTCGCTACAACCACCAATCTAACATATCAGCAAGTTCTATACTTTATCCAAAATCTATCTCAATTTCCTAACATGACTGGGGGGAAGTACAAAATAAGGAAATGAGGGGGGAAGTTCCATGGTGCCAGTTCCCACCCCTGGCAGAGAACCTGCATCGTGCAAAACTGTGCTCGGAAGGCTTCTCATGGTTGACTTTCTGGAAGACAGCCAGGCCTTTCTTCCAAGTGTCCTCTGGGTGCCAACCTTCCCATTAGCTCAGTCCATTAAACGCTCACAGCACCCAGGGACTCCGCAGTGCTAATTGAACCAGTGGAGTCCACATCAAGGCACGGCGATGCCACGTGTTAGAGCAGAACCACCTCCGGGGTTCTCGGTGGCCGGTCCGCCAGCTCTACTCAGCCAGGCCTCTCTAGGTAGAGACTGGTAACCCTGCCTGCCAGCCCTCCAGGTCTCCACAGCCCTGACACTCTGCCTCCTTTCTGTCCACACACACACTCGACCTCTCTAAACCTCTGTGCCCTACACATTCACCACGAAAGCCAGCTGCTCTCCTCCCCAGCTGGCCTCCCCTCCTGCACCCTCACCTCAATCCAGAACTGTGGGAAGCATTCGAGACCATCTCTGCCTGATGCTCAAATCCTAGCAATTACTAAGTGCTAAGACTCCACTTCTCCAACACCTCTTACTCAGCTCTGTCCTCTTCCACCCCCTTCAATTGCCCTCATTATCTATTTTGTACCTCTTGCCAAAAGTGAAGAAAACTAAAGATGGAAGGAAACACTGATGGACATTCACGTGAATGCGGGCCTCCTTGAGAAAAGAAGTCAGTGGTGCTACCGCTGCTGGCTGCTCTGCTGGGTATCCCAACAGGGGGCCCCGAATGGATCGGGACGAGAATGGGCAACAAAACACAAATCACAAAAAAGTGGCCAGACTTACTGAATGGTGGGAACACCCCTTGCTGTGAGAGAGGTCCATTCTGAACAAAGACGCTAGAGCAGCATTTCTCAAGCAGCAGTTCAAACACTGGGGGTACAGAGTTTGTTCCTGATAAAAAAAATCCTAGTCAGCTCGTGCCAGACTCCCCAAGGCTTCACAGACAAAGACTTACTGGTATCAGAGAAACCCTGGGCTCACAGGTAAGCCACAGGGGTGAATTCTATTCTACATTTGAAGGGTTAATGGAAATGAGACTCACAGGTAGGAAGTAGGAAGAGTGAAGAGATATCCCGAAGATTATAATTAATGATATAAAATAAAATTTTTGAAGAGAAAATGAATTTTCTTTGTAAACTTTCATTCAAATCCACACCAAAAAGAAATTCCAGGAAGAAAGAAAAAGCAGCCCCCAGTGACCATCTCGCTCCAAGGCCAGTGCAAGCAGAGAGAGAAAAGACCTCAGAGATAAGCAGGACCCAATGAGCACAGGGGGAAGTGGCCTCAGGGATGCCAACGGGGATTTAGTCCTGACCTTACAAGCATGTCACTGAGCCACATCCCACCACTGTCTCCAAATCCCGGCCCCCGAGCGCCCCAGTTTCTAGGACACCTCCCCTCCTGGTTCTTCTGGCCGTCTGGCCACTTCTCATTCTCCTTCAACATCTGGTGTCCCCTGAGAATGGAGTGGGGGCCTCCAAGGAGGACACACTGGTTCACGACTTCAGGCCAACACTCCTCATCCCAGCACCTCCCTCCCACCTAGGGGGACCTCCAGCCAGACAACCATCCAGATGACTCAAATCAACAAGACCAAACTTCTCAAATCCGCTTTTCCTCCTCATGCTAGCCACCCTCTCTCCTGCAGCTTCAAGGGCCCAAGGCCCATCGCTTCCACCTCTGAAGACCTCGAAAGCACATCTCTTGCTTGATCCCTATTAGCTCAGCATTCTCCAGCCAGAGAGACGACCAAATACATCCATATCCATGGTCTCTCCCCCATGATGTCTCTGCACTGCCATCTGCCTCACTCTGGAGCTGGCTCCCAGAAAGAGCTGAAGGGCAACATCTAACGTTACTGCCCACAGTTTGTGAAAGTGACTAGGCTCATGTTACGACACACGATCCTTGAGCCTTGGCGACTCAATGCATCTCATGTGCTGGGCTGCTCACAGAAAGGTTGCGGTTCAAATTCACCAGTCACTTCACAGGACAAAGGTGAGACAGTTTGCTCCATTAAGATTTGCAGACTAAAAAAAAGATTTACAGACTCAGCCTGTACCTTTCATTTGATCATGTTAATCAGAACATAATGTG